AGTGCAGAGACAGACCAGAATTACCCCCTGCAAACACCCGAGAGCGAGTCGGGGGACGAAGAGCTTCGAGCTGAAGTTGAACGACTTGAACGGCGGAACGAGGAGAATGAGATACTACTCGATGCTCTGTCATCTCCGGACAACGCAAACGCGTACGACATAGTTGCACGCGGACTCATGCATGGCGTCACGACACGTCAGTCCATCGTCAGCCAGATCACTGGGCGCAGCAATGCCGAGTTAGGGGCTGAGGTGACCGAGGGTCGGGCGGCATTCGCCTTGGGCGTGCCGCCGCGAGATTCAGAAGTGGTGGCGATTGATCCCGCGCACCTTGGTGGCAGTTTGTTGCAGCCTCAGTGGTTGCCGAACGCTGACGAGAGAGTATCCTCTGGGACGCGCGACAATCGATCGGGAATACCGCGACGGAGAACTCATACCAACAGCAATGATGCCTGGCTTGACGCGTCGACGACAAGGACAAGGAAGACTCTTCTACCGCCAGGTGCTAGCACACGCTGTTACGCATGGATACCGAGAGCTGGTGAGGGTGGTAGTGGTTGGAGTGCGGAAGGTGGAGAAGGGAATGCCCAGAATGATCGGATGCCTACAGAGGGCTGGTCCAGGCAAGGGCAGATATATATTTAGGGTCCTTGCTTTGCGAGCCTGCAAGCCATTCTCTATGTCTCATACTGTCCCCAAATTAGATCCTTATATTAAGCTCAATCGTATAGTGTAGAGGCGCTTCCGGTGGCAGCATCTCGAATTTCACCGAGCAGAACTTTCCCCAGGTTTGTCTCTCCAAGGGTAACGCCGTCATCAGATGAACGGAAGCAAGACAGCCAAACCGGCAAGTTCTCCTTGATTCCTATCCAACAACAAGACAAATTCCAGGTTCTGCTCCTGGCAGCATCAAAAAATGCAGATTGTACCAGAGGTAACAGGGACGATGACAGAACGAACGGACTGTCTTCACTCGGCTCAACTTGCACAAGCGCCTCATAAACGCCTGCCTCCCATTTCACTGGTTGAATATGAAAGTGTCGTGACCCCAGGACACTTTGTAGTTCGCGAAGCATGTCCAACGATGTCGAGAAAGGCAATGCGTCCCACCGCAAGAAGAACCACTGCCTGCACAGGCGACGCTCCTTCAGAGGGACACAGTCGGAGTGCCCGCAGCATGAACACGATGGAATCCTGGATTCCGTCTCCGTTGAGGTGGTAGAGGTTGTGATGCTCATTCCCACGACGCGGTGGGGCAATCCACGCCCGAGGGAGTAACAGTCCGCCCAAGACTAGAGAGCGTATGAGTGAAGTTCTTTAGTCGAGGAAGCGTACTAGCTAGCCTGTCTTTGCTGCATCCGTCAAGCTCGAATTAATGAGCATCTTGCCACTAGAATTCCACTACTCCGCATTTAAAAGAGGGTTTGTACATGTTTTAACAGTCGCAGGTAGTGAGACCATAGACATACTCGTTCTTGGCATTGGTTGTTTCTGTCGAGGCAAACAGAATCACGTTTGATCGTGCCGCAGGGTAACCATGCGTGTGTCGCCTTTCAGGAAGGAGTAAGGTGACATTCGTTATGGACTGTACGTGCAGGGAACTGTATTCCTACTCTGGCGAAGCTGCCTGAATTTATGTGCCGCCATGCAAGGTGAAGCGGGGTCTTCAGGGAGGTTGACAGGACCGGATCAACATCCAGCCGGCCCGTTATTAGCACGAACTTACGCGCAGCCATGTCCAGAAAAACACTTATGACCAGCGAGGACGCACTTGGAACAAAGCCACTTACGCGTCACATGATGATTCGAAACATGATGGAATGGCCAGTGCCCTTCACATCGCCCACTGCGTCGTCGGCATCATGGCAGCCGGCTAAGAGCACATCAAGATATTGAGCATCTACATGCGGGGACAATGGCATCAATTGACGCCGACAATTGAACGCCGATCACCCCTCGCAAAGCAACAATCTTAATTTTCAGCTCCGCCTTCAGTTCATTCAGGTCAATGGGCTCGGTCGTGACGGCTGGGAGTGGGCCCTGCCCGATGGCTCTGCAAATCCTCGATCGCCAATCCATGCACGTTTGGCAGACCTCTCGACTCCAACAGGTATCAGCTAGGCCCAGTGCGGTTCGCTTCGGCAGTCAGGCACGCTAGACGGGGTGCGAAGCCTCAGGTCCTTCCCGCCATCAAAATATAGGTCCGCCGACCATTTACAGGCGCAATAGTCTTATCGCACAGAGGTCTGTGTGATAACTGCAGGCGTTTGCATGCTTGGTCTTTACAACATATTATTCCTAAATCAGATCATTCAGATGTCCGTAGTCGCCACTGAAATCTGTCTTTGCTGCAGGCAAAGCTACTGTATAGTACCAATGACAATGTGATCGATGGGTTTGTCGCGCTTCGCGCTAGGGCGTTTGCCGCCGATTCCGACGATAAGTCCGAGACGTACGGTAGAGAGCTGTAGATGCCGTAGTCATGCGTACCTCGGCTTTAGCGAGACACTACTCGCGGCAATGTGGCCAGCAGTTATTCCAAGCGTATACGTGTTCTTATCATTGTGGGCTAAACTCGGGATTCATTGTGTTCCTCATCGCGAAAGGCCACAGCAAAAGAAAACTCAGTGGTGACAGAGCACCTTCAGCCAATCGTGTGGTCTCGGGGGTGGGCATATTCGATGCTGCGGCTTGGACCAGTCATACTCTGTCAGACAATTGGCTCCACAGGGATCACGGTTGGCATCGCGTTAATTGATGAGAATTATCTTGAGGAGTCCAAAACTCCTGTCTGTCCTTCTCCGTCGTGCATTTCTTATACACAAATGAAAGGTTTTGCTTCTTTAGGCAGTTGTAGCTGCCTGGGAGGCAGCTACAGCCACTGTAGGCAGGTGAGACAAGCGCCCTGTACGAGTTGGGGATGCTCTCTGTGCGACATACTCCTAGCACAGTCATGGCAGACACATAACATCCTAGTCGATCGGCCCGCCACATTACATGCAGCGGATCACGTTTTGCACCCCGGCTTGCGGCGCTTTTCGGTGAGCACGGCCCGGGCCGCTTCGAGCTTTTTCACATGCCACAAACATGTACAGTAGGGTCCGTATTGAGTGTCATTATTTTCACTCATTGTAGATTTACAGTGCGTCCAATGTTGGCTGAAAGCGGGGTCGTGCCGCGTTCTGTTTTGAGCCCCTCTTGTATGCTTCCTGATTGCCCTTGGACTTAGAACAGCTGAAAATGCGTCGTGCCAGACGACGAGAGACCAACAAAAAGCGGCAAGAGAGGGAGAGGCCTTGCATACATCCATAACAGCTCCGTGAGATGGCATTACTCAAAATCGGCGAATTACCGATCAAAACTCGAGGGCCTCCATGTTTACAGATACATCCGGCTTTGGCGAAAATAAAGCCAGCCCCACCAACAGCCCAAACGCAGACTATGTTCCCCAATTTTGTCGCGTGGCAGACCGGCGATGGCACTGGTGAAAGCAAATGTGAATGTTTCGTCATCAAGACTGAAGTTATTATTGGTCTCTTCTTCAGATCCTCGAGATTCTTGAGGATTGTATAGTTATCCTCATCTTTACGCTTGTTTTGTGCGTCGATGTGCAGCAAATGGCGGTGTGTGCGATATCCTTCACCACATTGCATAGGCCTCCATAAGCCTGTAGCTGTCAGGTTCGGCACACACCCAAGTACCCTCCAGGCACCCCTTTCCACCACTTATTAAAACCGAGAAAAGGCGTGGCTAGATGAGGAAATCCGGGGTGTCCGGATGAAACGCGCCACAGCATGATGCATATGCAATATGCTGAAGTATGTTAGCCAGACCGCCATTTCTGTTCACAAAAGGGATCACGGGGAGGATAAAGGAACAATCTTCAAGAATTCTCAAGGATCTGAAGAGGAGACCAATAATAACCTCATTTTTAATGACGAAGATAATCTGAATGCCTTCATAATGTCTGCTGTGCTTTCATAATTACGATCGCCGGTCTAACACCACTCTAACAGGTACCAATCCAAGTTTCTGTTGCACAAGGGGGCGTGCATAACTCTGATAGATTGACGCCCATGTATAATTAAAACGGCGCTAAAGTATGCGGCAATCGGATACAAGGATACTTGGTTGGTGGTGGTTAGGCGTAGGGTAGAGCATCGACTCCCCCGCCCACAAGAACTTCAGGTTCAAGCAATAGAATTAATGTCGGAATAGGTGATCACAATGTGTGCAAAATCGGGTGTGTGTGTATTGTCTCTCCGTGTAAGCCACACTGCCTGTCCATTGACTTCCAGTCCATGCAATCACCTGAATCCATATCCTTATACCGGGTTCACCCCCTTTGTGCAACCTCGCTCCCTGACATACCCCCTCAGCTGACCTGGGGCTCAGCTGCCCTGCTTGCTTGCTTTTTCCTGCCGATGGTTGCACTGAAGCCCAATTTGACCTCTTGGTCTGGTGCCTCGTTGCTCTTGCGTGCTCTTGCGTCCTTCAGTTGGTCTTTCAGCGTGTCCATCCGTCTTTCCATCGCTATCCGGGCTGAGATATCCTCCATTCGCAGCAGTTTCATAAAAGATTCGTGCTTTTGCTTTGGCAGCGACTTTGTCAAACCGTCTGCTATCATCTTTGTCGTTTGAACCCATTTGACTTGGATCCTTCCTGCCTGGCATTCTTGTCTTAGCCAGTGTTCGTGGATATCCACATGCCGTAGCCGTGTCGATAGCCTGGCCATGTCTTCCGTGAGAAGTCTGATGGTCTGGGTGTTGTCACATTCGATGAGTAATGGTTTGTCGATCTGCACTTGCAGCTTCCTTAATAGTCTGCTTGCGAATATGGCTTCTTTCGCCGTCTCGGATAGAGCGAGTAGCTCTGCCTCGGTGCTTGATGTTGTGACGGTAGCCTGCTTCGAAGCTCTCCATGCGATCGGTCCTCCGAACAGCATCACGACGTATCCTTGTGAGCTCTTCCGATCAACCGTGTTGTCGGCGAACGATGCATCACTAGCGCATAGGAACGTCGTTATTGTTTGAGTCCCGCCGAGTCGTATTCCTTGGCACCTTGTTCGGTACAAGTATTGCATCGCCCGGTCGGCCGCTTTATGATGTCTTTCGTCCGGATTCTGATTGAACCGTGCTAGCCGTGAGGCTGCAAACGCAACGTCTGGTCGTGTGGAGATGGCCGCAAATAGTATGGATCCAACCTTCTTCATGTATAGCTCGATCGATCGTCGGTCGGCTTGAACGCCTGCTGGTAGCAGCTCTTCTTCAGCCATCGGGGTTTTGGGCAGCTTTGAGTCTAGAGCTATGTCAAACTGGTGAGCAATCTTGTCAATGTATGCCTCTTGGGACAGCCAGATTGATCGCTTAGCTCTATCTCTGATGATGTGTATTCCCAGGAACCACTTCGGGTCTCCCAGTACACTCATCTTGTATTTCCTCTGCAAACCAGCAATGGCTTCTTTCGCCAAGGCCTTGTCGACCATTCGGTATGCCCAGATGATGTCGTCAACGAAGAAGAAGACGATCACTCCGCCTTTCTGCATTACACATGGTTCTTGTGGGATTTTGCTGAATCCAAGGTCTTGCAGGGTTGCTGTGAGGTCTCTCTGCCATAGTAACGGCGACCTTCTTAGCCCGTACAGCGCTTTCTTCAGTCGCAGTACGGTGCCGTATTTCTCGAAGCCTGGTGGCATTCTCATGAATACCAGCTCATCCAGGTCGCAGTTCACGAATGCGTTTATCGCATCCATCTGCTCTAGCTCCAAGTCATACTCTGCCGCAATTGCCATGAGCGCTCTAAAGGACATGCTTGCAAGTGTTGTTGCTCGAGTGGGCAGGTCCCCTTTGGCCTGTTGGTTCCCGCACACAACCAGTCTTGCTTTGCACCTCACGAGGTAGCCATGCTTGTCTGTCTTGTAGGTGAAGACCCACATGCAGCTTAGCACCTGCTGGCCCCTGGTTTGACGCCTTGGCACTTCTTGGAATGACCCCATCTGCTTGTGCGATGCCATATGGTCTTCCTGTGCCTTTCGGAAGTCTGCCTTGAAGGGGTGGCCCTTGAGGTCCCTAAACGTCTTTGGTGGCTCTGGCAGGTCTCGCTTGTGCGTCCTGGCCGGCTTGAACTTTCTGCCTGCTACAAAGGCCCCGTGAACTGCTGTTTCTACCGGGACTGAGACGTAGTCTTCGAAGCGGTCTCCCGCCATTCGGTCACCAATTAGTTTGTCTTGCGTTTCGCTCCGGCTGCCTTCTGGTTTGCCGTGCCTTTCCATCCCCTCATCTGCAGCGACGGGTAGGTGGACTGCTAAGACTGCCTCTGGCGCCTGGTCAGGTTCCGTCGGTGGAGGTGTATGAAACGCTTCCTCCATCAGCTTCGAAAGCTCATAGTCTTCTCTCTCATTGTAGCTTTGGTTTGTGGCTTGCTCAGCCACTGGCTCGCTTTGCTCAGCGGCCTGTTCATTTTCTTGCGATTCTGCGTCGCTCTCGCCATCTTGCTCTGGCGGATCTAGGATTTGTTCATCCTCTTCAAGCACTCTTTCGTTGCTCGATTGTCTTTCAGTAATTTGAACTTTGTGTATCAGATCATCGAGATCGTCAATCAGTTCAGGCTCGGTTCTTCGACCGTCAAAGAAAGTGTTCTCATCAAAGATCACATCTCTCGATGCGATGACTTTGCCTTTGTGTGGCACCCATATTCGGAAGATGTTCGTCGAATCGTAGCCAACGAGATATCCGATATGTGCTCTCGGGTCCAGCTTCTTCAGCTTTTGCACCTTCAATTGTGCTCGCCACGTCATTGCGTAGGCTCTGCACCCATATGCTTTTAGGTGCGATAATCGTGGCTGCTTTGAATGGAACAGCTCGTATGGACTTTTCCAGTCGTTCGCTTCTCTGGGGGTTCTATTTTTGAGATAGACGGCGGCATTGATGATCTCCCTCCACAAATTATGTGGTAAGTTGGCCGCGATTCTCATTGCTCGTGCTTTCTCCACCACGGCACCCCCCGAGCGCTCGGCCCCGCCATTCTGGGCTGGCGTGTATGGTGCGGATGGTTTGGGAATAATTCCCTTCCCCATCATCCACAGTCGTGTTTTTCTGGTGAATAGCTCATTGTCGGAGCGTATCACTTTGATTTCGTATCCAAAATGACGCTTCATCCAATTGTAAAAGTCTTTGACCGCTTTGTGGTTCTCTTTGCGTTCTCCGTACGTCCTCATGAAGTACGGGAAGACCATTCCGGTCCAGGCGTCTGTGATGAACATGGTACGTATAAATCCGTCGCGATCTTCTTCGAGATCGGTCCAGTCGATAAATATCTCATAGCAAGGTTTGTCCTTCTCGCGATCGGGTGGTCGTCGCGATACTTGCCGATGGATTTTCGCTTGACTGCAATGCTGGCATTCTGTTGTTCTTGGACCCCGCAGTCGCACGCCTAGTGAATTGGCACCGAGCTTCTGTAGGCTCAGTGGACTTGGGTGTCCCATCCTCGCGTGCCACAGCGCGCCATCGCCGACTGCGCTTGGTCTTGGGTCCCGAGACGATCGTCGCCTCTGTTGTATGTTGAACGCCGCATGCTTACTCTCCTCATCGACTTGTCTGTACTGGAGCACGTATTGCTTGTGCTTCTTCTGAACGACGCATAGTATTGTGCCGTCTCGTCTGACCAGATGATTGTTGATCGTATCCCAATAGATGCCTTGCTCTTGGAGCAGTTGGAAAGACACCAGATTGGTATTGAAGTCCGTGCAGTATGCAACATCGTGCAGACGCAGCTTCCCTGGCTTGCCATCCGGCTTGGTGACATCGAGTTCTACCTTGCCGAAGCCAAGTATGGGAACTGCCGCGGTACCCGCGACGACATACTCTCACTCTCTCGCCTTGCGGATGTTCTTGAATCTCCTCAGGTCGTTAAAGATGTGGAGCGTTGATCCTGAGTCCAGGATTGCCGATAGTAACAGCGGATAGGGGTTGGCTGAAGAGCTGAAGGCGGATCCTAGGAAGGCCGTGTTTGCCGTTCCTACCTTCCGTCCCATGCTCTTCGCCGCCGTTGATTGTCAGTTTATCTCTGCCTTGCGAATCGCGTCAACCTTCTTTTGCAGCTCGCTGTTGCCTTCTAGCGCCTTCTTGGCTTTCCGCAAACGATACTCGTTGCGAGCCGTGCACTCCGGTCTCTTCTCGTCGAACACATACCAACAGTCAGGTAGGTCATGCCCTCTCATACCGCAGGCCGGGCACTCAGGTACTGGCCTTTTAGCAGGTGTCCCGCCTTGCTCAGTCCTGGTCCTCTTCCGACCTTTTGGCGTGGATGCCTCCTTGTCGTCGGTACTGTCCTTATCGCCATCGTCTACGTGAAATGCCCCGCCCCTCACGGTGGAACCACTCGTGGGTTTATGGCGTATGGCCCATTCACGCATTGCCGCAGCGACTTTTTGGACCGTCCAATCGAGAGAGCCTTCAGGAGCAGGTCGCTGGGCAACCGGTGCAATCAGGTCTCCGTCCTCCGCTTCGACATTGATCTCCGACACAACGGTATTGCTGCTATTTACTCTCCGCCTTCTTTGTGATGGTGTGCTGTAGGATGTTTGGAATGCAAGTGCTTCTTCGAGCTGTCGTCTTCTTCGGACGGCATTTGCATCCAGCTCCCTTGCCTTCTCACTGAAGATGGTAGCGTAGCTTTGGTGCATTGGCTCAATGAGATCTGCGAACTCACGCAGCCATTGGCCATTCTCTGTCTCTGGAAGGTGGTACTTCTGTGCTTTGACTAGCATTGTTTCCCACTTGTCGAGCCATGGAAGGAACGTCTTCTGCCCCTTGAAGCTCTTCATGACCATATTGTATTGGTCCTTCACCTTAGCTAGCATGTAGCCTTCTGACGGTGCTGCTGTCGCTTTCAGCAGCTGCATCCAGCTTCTGAGCGTTTCTTGCCTGTCGAGTGGTTCCCTGAGTTTGTCGGACACCGACTCTAGGACTGTAGTGTACGCTTCGCTGACTTCCGTCTCTTGCTTGGAATATTGCCTTTGTCGGAACTCCCACTGTCGGAATGCAGCATCGTACGATCGCTGTTGAGTCTGCGTCAACTGCGAGTAGTCTGTCGCTGACGAGCCGTAGTCGCTCCACTGCGGCTCCCTTGGCTCAGCCAGAAGCTCGCCCATGGGATTATCCGGGTGCATGTAGGCCCATATTTTTCTGGGGATCTTGGCCGACATGGACTGTATCCAGGCGTCCCAAGTGTCCTGTCCCGTCAGGACGACCTTCCCGTTGTGGGTGGCCATTTTTGTGGATCGTGGGGTTTTTGGCCGGCGGTTTTCACTCCACCGCGCTCTCAACGAGCAACCATGCGATTTGAGTCGTTCAAAATCGTACTCGTCGTTAACCCGTATTTTCTGGTATTTCTTTCGGCTTCACTCAGTAGATTCTGCGCGAGCCGGGCTCATAACTGTCGGAATAGGTGATCACAATGTGTGCAAAATCGGGTGTGTGTGTATTGTCTCTCCGTGTAAGCCACACTGCCTGTCCATTGACTTCCAGTCCATGCAATCACCTGAATCCATATCCTTATACCGGGTTCACCCCCTTTGTGCAACCTCGCTCCCTGACAATTAACAGTTCTGGCCTCATCCTTGACTACGGGAACCCCATCGTGATTCGAGTGCTGCGTCGTCTATCTAACAAACTCCACTTGTATCGTATAAGTGCATATAGGGGCGTGTAGCGAGATGAGCGTCCCAGCCCACAGAGGAAAAAGGGGACCGCGAGAGCTGGCCGGAGGATGGACAGAACACATCACGATCAATACACTTGGACAACTGCCCTCACACCCATTCCTTCGACAGTGACGCCTTTAATGCTGGTATCCACACCGTACGTCTGACAATTTGACGAGATATGTACCGGCATCTTTTGCACTTCAATCCGTCCGTCATCGGTGGCGTGATATGTGGAACTGGGCTGAGAGCGACGGCGGAATCACGATTCTGCTCACATCGTCGCGGCCATGTATCAAGTCGGGGATGCGATTCACTGTTGCTCCACTGCGCGCCATTCCGTTACGGGTAGCTCCCTGTGCTCCGTCTGCAAGTGGCTGGCGACCTCATTGCTGACGCACCCGTTCCCGCACTTTTCGCAAACAACGATCGAGTATCTCGGAAGATGAACAAATGAGTCCGTTGCGAGAGGTATGAACGGGCTTTTGCAGAGACTTTGAGGAACGAGTGTTGCGGATGGCCGGCCCAGTGACGACACTACCCATTTCGCGCCGGTCTGACGCGAAATGGGTATATTGGCCTCGTGGGTCCGCAATGTCCACGCAAAGGCGCGATAATCACTTTCGCGACATTAGCTCAGGTGGTTTGTCACGATAGGTCGCCCAAGGACGGGATCACTTTTCCGGTCATGGCTGATGACAACCCTGCTGCTTCATGCTGAGACTATCAGGTGTACCATTACAGAGTTCCTCATACCCGAAAGTTCTTCAGGCGCCGTCTTCGATAATCGTTGATGGAGTGACTTCTGTTATGTCAGCGGTTATGAGAACCTGTCCGCGATGTGACGCTGCTCTGCAGCCCTAGTCCCGATCGGCGCACAAGTTGCGCTATGCAGGTACACCAGCAGATCACTCCCTACGTAATGTAAATCATGTTGCCAACGACTGGCCAGATCAGGCTCGTATCCCCTCAGTACTTGAATGCGATGATTTTGTGGCGAAGTTCCGCCTTGCTTCGCGACTTGGAGAGTCGTAACCACCCCGACCCTGGCAAAATACGTGCCAGTTTTTGGTTCGCTTGCAGAACCACCAGACGTCAGCCGGATTGTTTTCGAGTCCGTTTCCAACTGCACTGGAATTCCACGCGTAGCTTTGTTAAGGTACACTTGGCAGGATCCTACACGCCATGCATCGCATGTCGCTAGCTCGTCACATTCATGTAAGCAAGCTGCCAAGCCCTACAAGACATATAAAAATGACAGTGTCTCCCTTCCGCCGAAATCTGGTTGACTGCTTTCCATAAATCATTTGCCTTTGATTAAAACTCAACGCAATCCCTTTCTAAATACTTTGAGCTCTCCAAGACAGAATGTTCATCAGCGCAGCTTTCATGGTGGCCAGCTGCGTGGTCGCAGTATTGGGTGCACCGCCTCCTGCTAACCCTGACGGCGGGGTCGATTGCCTCGTCCCTTCAGTCACTTGTGGCAACGAAGTTCTGCCTCATAATCTGGAATGCGATCTTTATTGCCGCAGGATTAGGGGCGTTGGCGGCACCTGCAAAAAGGATCCTTCCTGCTGGGATTGGTTGAACAAATGGGTCTGCCACTGTGGTAATGCCATTGCTTCGGACTCGAAGAACACCGATGGGCACCCGCCGACCGATCAAAATCGTCAGAAAAATGAGAAGAGAGAACCAGCCACGGAGAACACGGACATTGTCGGGAAAGAACAGGATATGAAATCTCTCGACAAAAGGCTTGTTTGCAGTCTGCCGTGGGGAGGCACGCTTTGCGAGATTGAGTGCCAGAAACAGGGCTGCAGACGTGGAGGCCATTGCGACAACCAGAATATTTGCCGCAGCAACTGCGACTAAGCTCTGGAAGCAACACCCTTGGTACTGGTTTTCCTTCAAGGGTTTTCCCAGTACCTAAACGCGAATGCGAAGGGCACAACATGCAACGGAGTCAGAAGGCGGAGGGAGTATGAGGTTAAGCTTGGTGCGAATTTCGCATTTTGTCGCATAGGTCATTAACTTATCGAGATCAATTTCAACGATGCCTCTCACTGCACGCAAATGGCCATGGCTGGAAACCC